GGTCTTATTTTGAACAATGACAATGTTGTCAGAATAAAGAGACAGTCTTCTGAGAGGAGGATCTTGAAGGATAATGCCCACTGGGATTCTTAAATTCTAGAACCGCTTGAAACCTAATCCATTCCCATCACTTTACAATCTCCACTGATTCTGTAGTGTCTCCGTAGAGGAAAAGTTGGCACCAATCAAATAAGAAATTAGCTTCTGACCGCAGAGGGAGTCACCAGCAGTCCCTCATGCAGAAGAAGGCCCAGCCATGCTGAATGGCTGGTCAGATGAGATTGCTAAGTATAAAGACAAACTCTTCCTGGAAGCCCCCTTAGGGAAAATCTGTTTCTAGCTTGGGAGAACTGGAGAGTCCTCTCTCAGAGTCAGGAGTCACAGGGGTGAAGAGACAGGGATGGGGTGTAGGAAAAGCACTACAGATTGGAGCACTGGTGCATGAGGCAGAGAAATCAAGAAGCTCAGTTCTTTCTCTAATACCAAGATAGGATAGAAACAGAGGCACTCTGATGAAAAGACTGCAGCCTGCTCAGCCTGTGGGTGCCTGAGTTGTATAACAGGCAACTAAGGAAAAGCATTCAAAGCAGCACAATTAACTCAGCACTACCCGCTGCTGGTCCAAGACTACTAATACAGTTCCCTCTCCTGATCTTGCATTAGTCTGGGAACAGTGGATTTCATTCAAATCAGGGTCCACCAGAGTGAGCTGGAGGGTTTGTTAAAATAGACAACTTAAACCTGTATCAAAATTTACGACTCAATAGCTCTGAGATGGGCTAAGAACTGGATATTTTAAAGACTTCCCTGGTGGGAGTGATAATGTAGGTCTGAGATCCACTGACCTAGAATTTGTTGGCCACTACTCTCAGGTAACATGCTCAGTAGCTAAATCTGAGAGGGACTGGAAAGAATAGGAGTTGACAGTTTACAGACTACGGAAGAGGACTGATTAGCATCAAAACAAGAAACAGGAGGTTGTAATCCCAGCACTAAGGAAAATGAAGCAGAAGGATTGCAAGATTAAGTCCAGTCTGGGTTACACAGCCTGGACCACATAGTAAACATGAAAACAGAAACAAAAATAACAACTAAATGCAACAACCCAAGACAGTGATAATGATAGAATTGTGGCACGGCTGAAAAGATAAGAAGTATGAAATATGAATGACCTTTATTTTAAGAATGTGATGAGAGAGCCCCCGACCCTCCAGGGTCCAGCATAGTACCCCAGGGCTAGCACTGTCACTGGGGTCTGGCAATCTCTCCCTGGGGGTGGTGATCTCTCCATCAGACGCGTGGAGTGGGGGCACACATGTAGCTTAGGTTTGGGGTGGTGCCTGAGGAGCATTAGGGATGCACAGGTAGCCCATTGGTATTCATTTCGCACCAGAGGCAAATTCCTAGGGGTGGGGAAGATAGAGCCACAGGTAAATTCCTAGGGATGGGGAAGATGGAGCTCCTTGGTTTCGCCTCCAAGGCTTTACTGGCTACAGTGTCTGGCCTAGGGCAAGATTCTTTTAGATAATACAGCAGAAAGAAGGAAAGAAAAATTGACAATTAAAGGAAAGAAGTCAAAAAGAACTCTCCATTCATCCAGACACAACCATCCATTGGAGAAAGAACTGGATCCCTAGCTAGTGACTGAAAGTCTACTGCTTTCTGGCTGCCTCTAGAGTCATCCAGCGAGCCTTTGAAAATACCGGTCCTGTGTCCCATCCCCAGACAAGTCAGAATCCTCTACAGACAAATCAGAATCCTCTACAGACAAATCAGAACACAGACAGTGAAATTTTTTTAGAGCTCTTAAATTATACAAATAATTAGGCCTGAAAGATATGGGTCTTACGGAAATCTGATTCTGTCTAAAGGAGGAAAATTATTTTCAAAAGTGTTCTATAAGATGAGAAAGCTATCTCCCATAACTTAAAATTTAACAAGTTCTTGCCCTTTTCCTCTTAGTCCTTTAAGTTCGGTCATTGATGGTAATGTACCCAGAGGTCTACATGAGCTGTTCCTTTGCTGTGCTACCACTGTGCTACTCTAACTGGCCCATGGTTATAGACTATGGCTAACAGCAGCCAAACAAGCATCATAGCTGGAAACACTAATTGAGGTCTTCTTCTTGGGGGGTTACATTCTCTGTGTCTGTCAAAGGCCTTACACCAAGACTAAGCTCAAATGCTTTTGGTCTCTGTGTAGCTAGAAGTCTATGGGTCATTTGCTTTAATCAGATTGAAAATATGAGTTTAAGAGTCATGAAATGCTCTTGCACAGGAGACTTATACACCATCTAGTCAAGTTTCCTAAATATACATATTGTCTCACTGTGCTAAAGTGTATGGGATTTGACATGAAACACTTATGTATAAATTGGTCTTTAAAAAAGACCCCGTAGAGCAGTGTGTATGATACATTGCTTTTTCTGTTAATAAAAAGAGAATATGGAGTAAGAACCCCAGAAAGCCAGACAAGACATTGTGTGACACTGGTTTTTTCTAGAGTAGGGAACTGGAGATAAATTAGGAAGAAGACTGATGTTCACCTCTGTCTACCTGTTGTATGTAGAATCCCATGCATGAATAATTTTTTAAATTAATTTTTTTTCTATTAGAACTGGTCTCAACAGAGCAAGCCAGACTTTACTTACCTCCTCTCCTCCTTAGCCCAAGCTGCCATACCCAGACAAAGTTTACAAGATTAATAATCTCATAAAGTTCCTCAAAGGAAACCTCGCCTCTTCCCCTAAAAATGATCCAGTGGAGAAATGTTGAACCTTTTCAGCCCCACAATGAATAAACAGATACACAAATGGCCTGATCAAAGGCAAAAAACTAATGAGTAAGTCCAAATTTCTTGACAGTCTTTCCAGGTTTTAGTTTCCATGCCCAATCAGACATTAATCTCTTCAACACAGCATCTCAAATGCCAGCTGAATTTCTGCAGGTACGCCAAAGGGATGCTATGACTGTAGACACCCAGCAGTGGCAGAGCAATGTACTGACCGAACAACCAAGCCATAACAGTAACAACCCTCACGATACATGAAAAGTTAAGCTATTCACAATCAGTTCTATACAGCATCCAGCAGCTTGTTAGGATATTTTGCAGCATGAGTCACAAGACAAATATTTGGAAGTGAAAGCAACTTGACATAGACATACATAGACAGCCTACATACATAGACAGCAACTTGCTTTTTGTTGTTGTTGTTGTTTTGTTTTGTTGTTTTGTTTTGTTTTTGGTGCCTGCACAGCCTCAGTGACCACCAGGTGGCAGTAGTAATCTAACAACAATACAGAAAGCCACAGGTCTAGTGCTCCTAGTGAAATAATGCCTGTCTCACAGCTGCCTACCTGGCTGCACATCTTTTACTCAAAGCTCAAATAATTCTTCATTAGCTATACCCTCTATTCTAACAGCCAAGAATGTTTTCACTTATGTCACAAAATAAGCTCAACCCAGAGCTCCAGGGCAGAAAGTGGTCAGCAGTAAGTGTTTGCCTACTGTGGTGTGTGGTTTGGTGTTGTTTTATTTTCATTTCAGATGCCTTTTGTGGGCCAGTCCTCCCCCGTTTGCTAGAACTCCCATGCCTCTTTCCTGTCTTACTCTTGAGACTATCAGTGTGAATGGCTCCTAAAGGCACCGGATTGAGAATTTCTGATGAAATATCTTTTTCTTTTTCTTAACCACACAATGACTCCACATTTCCACATTGCATTCTTACTGTTTTAGTCACGTCTCCTGGGCTTTTCCACATCCATTCTTCTTTGCCCAAGGCATTCCTCAGCTTCCATCTATAATTGTCTTCCTCCGGGACGTTTCCCTTGGTTTTCAGGCCTCTCCAGGCAATGTCCCCACCTCCTTTCTCCCTGTTGCACCACTCTGAAATCTGAGGTCTCTCCCCCGACATTCCAGAGAACTCAGAGCCTCCACTGCAGAGCAGTTGTGTATTTTCTTTATTTTTCTGTGCTGCATTGTTAACTGTCTGTCTGAAGTGTGGATTCTGCAGTCCCAGTAACCAAAGTGAGGTTACAAAGTAAGCAGGCTGCACATAAGCAACACATTTCAGGTGTCACCAGCTCCTTTCAGCCCCAGATGGGACTGAGTAGTTGCTCGAAAACAAGCTCATGACTCTCCACTGATTCTGCATTATGGCAAGTTACATAATTATTTCATTATATAGTTCAATTTAATAATAATAGAAATAAGAAGCACAATAAGTGTAATGTGCTTGAAAATTGCCAAAGCACTCCCACTCTGTGAGAAAGCTATTTCCATGGAACTGGTCTTTGGTGCCAAAACTATTGTGGTCCACTGCATAAGAACATGTCCTTTGTCCATTCTCATTTCCACATAACTGTCCATTCTTCATCAAATCTAAGCAAAAAGATAGGCAAGTTCCCCTGGGAATTAATTTCTAAAGGCTCCCACATCATGTAAGACTTTGATTAAACAAGTCTGTTCTGCTTCTTTTGGTAACTTATCTTTTGTTATAGGAATGCTACGTGTGACCCTTATCATGGGCAAGGAAGACGAGCATATCTTTCTGCCCCTAAAACAGTTTATTAACTACGGTGTTCGTCCCTTATCTATGGATTCGCTTTCTAAGGTTTTAGTCATCTGCAATCAACTGCAGTCTGAAGCATTAAGTGGCAAATTCCAAAAATAAACAATTCAAAAGCTTTATATTGCACACCATCCTTAGCAGTGTGATAAAATCTCACTCCTTTCCTCTAACCCTGTCTTCCCTCCCTCTGCTATGTTCATGCAGTTTATTCCACCTGCCTGCTACTCATTGAGTAGACATCTGATTTTCACATCAACCGTCAGGTATAGCAGTACTTACTTTCAAGCATCCTTATCTTACGAGTAATAGCCTGAAAGCATAAGAAATGTGAGTCAAAGGAAACAGGAGAACATAAAACATAGGGTGACAGCTTAATTCCGATACTATGCGCAACCCTGCAGTGGACAGAGGGAAAATATATAGTACATTACCATATTCAGCGAATCCATAATTTCATAAATCCACTAGGGATTTTGGAAAATCCCCCTGCGAAGAAGAGAAGACCACTGTGAAGCAGGATACGGTTCAGCAGATCCCCAGAACTTATTCATTTTGCATCACTGAAACCTGATATCCATTGAGTGGGATGTTTTTTGAAAAGAAAGACATTCCACTTTGAAATAATTTTAGACTTGCAGGAAAGTTGTAAAAATTATACAGCTTTCCCTACTGTTAACATCTTATATAAACATAGTACAATTACAAAAAGCAAGATGGACATCAGCACAAAACCACTAATTGAAACTACAAGCTTCATTTGAATTTGCACCAGCTTCCCCATTGATACTCTTTTCTAGGATTCAGTCCAGGATCCCATACTGCACTTACCAATCATAAATGATAATTATAAACATAATTCTTTGTCTTCTTTAATCTGTGATACTTATAGAAAGTCCAAAACAAGTGTTATCAAAATGTCCTTTATTTTTTGACGAGCAGATCAAGCTTGTACATTTTTGCTAGAATAACAGTTTTGCCCTTCCCCTTGGGGGTATATAATGGCAATATGCCTTATTATTGGTGATTATATTAGCTACCTTTCCAACTCTTCCTGCAAGCTACTTCCAAAGGATTCTGAACCACATGGTCAAATGTAGTCATAGCCCCAACCTCCTCCTCAGAACCAACTTCTGTATTAGTCACCTGTCATTTACTGACATGTACAGCTTAAAGGAGGAGAGGTTATTTTGGCTCACAGTTCCAATCTGTGGCTGTCCAGCTACAAGACAGAAACATTGTGGCAGAGAAAACCTGCTTGACTCATGGCAACCAAGAAGAGAGAGCAGGAAGAGAGCCAGAGGGAAAGATATCATGGACTAAATAGAACCCCAAAGATTATATCCATGACCCACCCATACATACCCAGATGGGTTTGAGGTACCACTCCAGCTAATCAAATTGACAGTCAACATTGTCATAGTGAAGTTAACCTTGATGATCAGATTAAATTGATGCATGGTGGGTTTCCCCACTGTGAACTTAATATTGTTTACCTTTGATATTAATAAATACCTTACAAGGAGATAGTTTGAGACTATGCAAATATCCTATTTCTCATATTTTCACCAACTAATTTTAGTGTACATCAATGTTTGCCCCATGGCAATTTTTTTTCTTTTCTCTCATTCTTCTGCATTTACTGATTGGAAATCAGTTTCTCCTCCACTGACTCATTTGCAGGGCTTTTATGAGGATTAAAGAAAAATGTTTACACCAGTCCACAGTGCATGGTGGTCTTCATAAGTGTTATCATTATTAATGAATCTGTGAAGGTTATATTACAAATATATTTCTGATAAGAAATGAGCATAACTAACGTGCTTAAAGATATTCCAAAATGGTCTACTGTATTAATTTGCAAGAGCTGCACAACAAAAGACCATAAAGTAGGTGGCTTGCACAACGGAAATTTATTTTCTCACAGTTCAAGATCAAGGTGTGGGCAGGTTTCCTTTCTCCTGAGACGCTCTCTGTGGCTGCAGATGGGCACCTTCCGGCTGTGTCCTCACACAGTGTTTTCCTTTTGTATCCTAGTTTTCTTCCTCTTTTATGGGCCTGTCAGATTGGATCAGGGCTCACCCTAAGGGCTTCATTTTAATCCCCTTTTTAAAGTCCTATCTCCAAACGCAGTCACATTCTGAAGCAGTGGAAGTTCACACTTCAACTTCAGACCCAAGGGCACATTCAGCCACGTCTACTATATCTGAAGAATTATTGTTGAGAAATGATTATACATGTGAGAATGCTTTCAGAATTGGAAAGCACTGTACATATATAAAGCAACAGGACAAAAAATATCACTGTAACTCTTGACAACCATCCCCAGGATGTTTATACAAACTGCTTAAGCATTCCCTCACAATGCTATTAGCACCTTTCATTTGGCTTTCATTTCATAGCTGTCACAGAACCCTGGAAGGCCAGCTTCAAGCTGGTGGCTGTCTGTGTTATCACACTGCCTCAGTGATTGGCATCCATAATCAGTGCGATTTGCTTGGTTTTTTTTTTTTTTTTTTTTTGTCTTTCTCAGAGGCTTATGGCTTTTGAACACTTCTCTTCAGTCTCTGGCAGCCACCTTGACACAGGCCCAAGGCACCTCCTTACCTCAGAGGGAAAGCCTGCCTGGGAGCTGGCCAGCAGCGCCCGATTTCGCCCTGACCAGCTGCATAGCCTTGGGCAAGGCTCCTCTGTGCAGCACTCTGTCCCGATTCCACAGCTGAAGAATACGGATAACAATCCTCTCAAGGAGGCAGCGAGAATTAATGAGTTAATCTTTTGGAGCATTTAATAACATAAAATGGACAAACTCCTATTCATCTCTTTTTAGAACTCACCCACAGACTAAATACTTGCTAGGAAGGTACAACCTATTTAGATAAAGTTTATTTGAAAAAGGCAATTTGCAATTTTGATAAATCTTAGCTCCCTAGAAATGGGAAAACGATACATACTTCGCTATATCTGATTAAGTAAAATAGTAGACTGATTTCTTCCTGCAGAAGCCTCACTTAGCAGAGGAAAAATGGAAAACTGTTACCTGCAGTCTGCCTGCCCTGTAGTGGAAAAGGGAGAACCAGAAGCTGCCTCTCCCAGACTGCTGCCTGGCGGTCCCTGAGATCCCGGCTGCCCACAGCCTCCACACTGTGTGTTTGAGGAGAGAGTGGATAGCACTTAGCTACCTTCCAAGTTCACCACCATTCTCTTGGTCTAACAGGAGCTATTCCTTGCCTGGGAATGCTGTTTCAGAGTCATGAGTACTGAACAACCCAAACGGGAGGTTCTTTATCCAAGAACCACTTCCAAGACACCCACAGGAGTTTCTGGGTTGGCACTGCCCCTGTTCACCATGATGTGTGACTTTAAGTCCTGTTCACACCACAGACGACACTACACACCTGCTTATGTGTCTGGATGTTCATATCATATGCTAGCCTCTCCCCAGTCCACACCCAGACAGAGTGGAATTCTCTGTCCTGGGGGCTCCCTGCTGGTACCTACTTGTGGGACAGAGAACACACCAGCAGACCAGAGCCTCCTCATTTGGACTTCTTTACTACTTACTTGCCTTCAGAACTTAGATGTAATCTTGCCACCTTTCTTGAGCACTTGACAGTCTCACTGAAACTTAACCCTGGGTGTGTAGCTGAGTGACAGACTATTTTCTTATAAAAGGAAAGGCCTTGGGTTTGAGTTCCACCACCTATGGAGAAAAGGAAACTTACCTGACAGCCTGTGGAATCTTGGAGTTCCACTCCTCCAGAGATCTGCCACTAGTAAAGAAGTTCAGTTCTATCGCTAGACCTTGGCCAACATACCTGCCAAGAAAGTAAAATAAACAGTACTATGTTTATATGGAAGTTTATAATTTATTACGTTATTTTGCATTATCTAATTTGACACCACACCAAACTCATAAAAAATCAACTTCTGTATTTTATAAATCAGTGCAAATGACTTATTTTATAAATCAGTGCAAAATGTCAAATTTCTCCAGGATTGAAGTTTTCTTAGGACTGCAGGACTTTCAATACTAAATCCAGGACAGTCCTGGCCAAACTAGAAACTCTTGGTTACATAGGCAGTAAGTGACTGGGCTAAGACTTGAATGCAGAACACCTAACCAGCTCAACAGTAGTTGGACTCTATAAGTATTAGTCAAATAATGATCATCTTTCCGCTACATGATACACCTCTCATAAATGGCCTCCTTTTTGGAATAATACACAAAGGTCTTATTTGTCTTCTTCCTTCCTGACATAGCAATCAGGGGAAAGGAAAGGGGGAACACTTCTTTGCATGAGAAAAGCATCCTTGCATTAATTCCAATGTAGAAATAAACACCCTTAGTAATAATTTCAACAAAAGCATTAATTAAAGAGAGTCTGTGATTATGGTAACAAGAATCTGAAATCAAAAGTGGTTGTGAATGGGCCACTAACCCCATCAACACACATACTCTGCTCCGAAATAATCAAAGGCTCACTGGATAAATGAATATTCAGTAGATGCAAATTTTAAATCCCACTGTCAGATAACAGTACGGATTGAGAGAGACATACAGTGGTGAATACCTCTTCTTAAATTCAGCCACCTCAGAAGCCGTCTCAGAAAAGATGCGCTCAGCGCATCTGCCGAAGACCCAGATAAGGAGGAGCCAGTGGGCTTCTTCTGTGGTGGTTTTACCATCAAGGATGGAGAATGAGAAAAGGATCTGTGGAGGGTGGCTACCGAGCTCAGCAGAGAAAATTGTTTTGTTTTCCCTCACTTACCAAGTAGGTGTGCATCCTTAGAGAGAGAGAGACAGACAGACAGACAGACAGACAGGTAGACAGAGACAAAAAGACAGAGACAGAAACTATAAGCACTACTACTCTAGAAAGACTTTGTGGTTTCACACAGTTCACAGTAGTGACACTTTTCTGGAAAACAGCAAGAATTTCTGTATAAAATCTGTACAAAAACTGTCAAAACATGACACCTCCAGGTCTGACCATAGCCTGGAGCATTTTTGAAAAAAAATCACAAAAAAATGTATATGCTCTGAGGAGACCACTCTACCAAAAATGTCCCCTCCTCAGAGCTGACACAGGACCCTTTGAGCACACGCCCTGCTGCTAGTCCACTGCCCACCTGTGTTCTGACAGCTGCAGCTCCCCTCTGTCACCATATTCTAAGACTGTGCTCAACCTTCCTTTTGACATTAAATGATATCATCTTTGGAGACAATTAATTCTAAAGGCTCAATTCTGTTGTAGAACAGGCTGTATATATATATATATATATATATATATATATATATATATATCTCCAGATTTAACCTTTAAACTGTTCACATTTCCCATGTGCACCAGGAAGCTTCTGAAATACCTGTAATGTGTCAGGCCTGCACTGGGTACTGAGATTAGTGGTGGAGCAGATGCAGCCCCCAAAGAGTTCTTAAGGTAGAAGAGAGGGGAGAAGGGTAGAAAAGCCATTCTGGAAAGATAGGGCAGCATCACATGAACAGGAAAATATACTCGGACAACTACAAATTAGTTCAAAATGTTGGAGGCAGGAAGAATTTTAGGAGTTGGCAGACATAAGCCTGGAGAATTCGGTACTTTTCCAGGATATCTTCTCTGACTGATCTCTGGAGAATCAATCGCTTCTGCCCTGTTTAGTAAACAGCACAGTCTAGGAAGACTTCCTAGGGCTCTTTTTTATTTTCTAGTTTCCAGGGCTTTTCCACTGATGAAAATCCTTTAACCCTATTTGCATTTTCTTTGCTGTCTTTGGTACCTGTACTGAACTGGTCCATATCAATGTTTCCCCCAGAAACCCCTGGGAAGGGTGGAGCAGTCATTGTTTCCGGTGACCCAGGAAGAAGAGAAAACATGAATCTGTCAGCTCTGTACTCTGAAATGCCACTGTGTGTTTCCGTAGAAGTCAGGTTAACCTATCTTACTGCATCAAATACCTGCCGGTGCTAAGCCTGCCCTGTTAGGTGGTAGATGTGTCACTTACATCCCTACAGGTGCTTTCCAGTGGCAAAGAAGAGGCCTGGCTTGATTCAGGCAGCATTCAGAACAATACAAAGCAGGGAAGGGGGACTGGACAAAGGCTGAGAAAAACACGGGGGAAACAGAGAGCAGTTGTATGGAAGCATTCTTGGCTTTGAGCAAAATTATGAACATAAGACACTGAGTCAGGCCACACTGGAGCTGAGTGGAGAAGTGATAGGATTTATCCAAATGCTCTCACCCCACAGGGTGCACAGTAATTTCTGATGTAGCCAAAGAGTGAAGATAGCAGTGATGTAATAATAGCCAAGCTACCTTGAGGATGTATACTGGGCCTGGTAGATACTATTATTACCTCCCTACAGCTGATGGAACATAGTTCAAGAAACATCACAGGCTCCAAAAGTCAAAGGATTGAGTCAAACCCTGTTCTATGTGAGTCTAGAACCAAGCCTTGCCTCACATGGCAGTACTGCTTTTATTTATCCACTTGTATTCAGTCATTCAAAAAGTGTTTCTAAGTACCTGCTCTTAATCAAGCACTGTGCAAAATGGTAGAGATGCAACAGAGGCCAAGATTTTCCTGTGGAAATCTACACGAGAGACATAAACAGTCAACAAATCATCAGCACAAATAGGACATTTCACATTGTTTGCTGCGTGTTATGCTGGAGTAGTGTAGGAGGGACCTGCTTAAGGGAGTCAGGGAATGTCCCCTGAAGGAAAGAATATTATCCTGAGATCTGAAGAATGTGACAGAGCCAACCATCAGGTGACTGAGGCAAAGGTGAGTGAGCAACAAGACAGAAAAGAAACCTATAAAAGTTGACAGGGAGGTTCAGTGTATCTACAGTTCAGCAGGGGACGGCTCATGCAAGACCTTAAAAGCCATCGCAGGAGTTAGAATTGTCTTAAGGAAACATTAGTGCGTTAAGCAAGGTACAGATGGCAAATTTACTTTTTATTAACAAGAGGTAACGATAGCTCATAGTATAGACTTTGGAGCTCAGATGCCTGCATTTAAATCCCTGATTTACTGCTTGCTAGCTATGTCATGGGAAAACCTTTCTGAGCCTCGTTTTCCTTATCTTTCAAATGCAGGAACTAACAATACCTGCCTCAGACGACTGTTACAAAGATCAAATCAGTTATTATTTGAAAACACTTAGAATAGTGCTTGGTACATAGTAAGATATATGCTTTAAAGTAAGTGACTAGCTAGACATAGTGATATAACCTCAGCATCTGGGAAGCTGAGCAAGGAGAATCACAAGTTGAGGGCTACCCAGGGATACACAGCAAGATCCTTTCTCAAACATAAATAAATAAATAAATGTTAAAAACGTAAAATCAAAAGTGAATAGTTTAATAAATGTCTTTGCACCTATATCTCTGAAATATATTTTATATAACTATACAAAAAAGTGATATCATGATATTAAAAGCATGCTTTATTTTAGTGAAGTGTTTTAGCTTTGTTCTGTTTCTTTCTTCCTCTTTCTCCACCTCTGCTCATCCCTAAGGAAACCCATGTCAGGAATTCAATATGTTTCCTACCACACAATCCTAAATAGGTGGACAAAAGATTTATACAGGTGACATCCTTTTGTCTTTATTTTGCAAAAATTAAGTCATTGTATGTGCTTTCTTTTGCACTGGGCATTAACTTGTGGGATTCTCTTCATGACAACCGGTATAACTACTTTATCTTTTAGATAAATATGTCCTTCCCTTGGGGGCAGATCTGTCAGTTATTTGGCTGCTGCACTCTGACATTGTTCCCAGATCTTCTGCCATCACTAGCATTGTCTCGGTAAAAGTTGAACTGAAGTATGCTTGCATAGTTGTTCTCTCTCCTGTGTAAGGTAAGCTTCTGGGAAAGGGGTTGCTAGACTGGGAAATGTATCTGTTATTTTTTAAACAGATACAGATGACATCTTGCTTGTTTAAAAGGGACCCAGGTCCCATCTCCTAGAGAAGTTTCCTGTGTGCGACCCCATTTGCCTGCATCTTTGCCACAAGTTATTTTGGATGGATAGAAACTGATGTTACTTTTTTCCTTAAAAAATTTTTTAGAGTTGGTAAACATTTACATGCAATAAAATGTATAGATTACATTTACATAACCTGAAGAGTTTTGATAAATGTTTTACCATGTTACCAAAACCATGATCAAGACAGGAAATTTTTATCACCCTAGAAAACCTTTCTGACTAAACCACACCCTTCATTGACAACCACTCTTTTGATTTCTATCACTACCAATTAATTCCATGTGTAAATAAAGTGCATTAAATAGAAATATATAATGGGTTTTTTTAGTATCTGGCATCTTTGGTTCAAAATATTTCTGAGGCTCATCCATGTTGCTTCATGTACTAGTAGAGAATTGGTAGATCATCAATAGTATGGAGGTTATAACACGATGTTACACAACTATGGTTCTAACCCTTGGAGACTGAGGCAGGAAGAGAGTGAGTTCCAGGCCATAGTGAGTTCCAGGCCAGTTTGGGTTAACTAAAGAGGTTTAGTTATAATTTAAATACAATAAAATGACCAGATTTCATATTATGATGAGTTCTTACAACTGTATGTATCCATATAATTACCATGTAAAACAGTTCATAATCTCAGGCCCTTCTGCCCTTTTAAAATTTATTCTTATTCCATTTTACTTTATTTAGAGAAAGAATTTATCCAATTTTTATTATCCCTTTTTTTTGCATGTTATAGAGATTCATATGCATGGAGTCATAGCACATATACACCTTATCTCTGTCTTCAGTCACCACAAAATGTGTGTGTTCTTGAGGATTTGCACCAAGCTACATATCCAACACTTTTTTATTTTTATTTTTGTTTTTTTGAGACAAGGTCTCGCTAATTCACTAAATTACCCACGTGAGACTCAAACTCGAGATCCTCCTGCCTCAACTTCTCCAGTGGTGGGATCACTGGTACATATCACCACATCCAGCTTGATTGACTTAATTTTCAATTCTAGAACCCCACAGTACTTCTTCCCTTAAAAAAGAGTAAGCCAATACCTACGAATCAATCTAACAAAGGATGTAAAAGACCTCTACACTGAAAACTACAGTATTCTGAAAAAGGCAATTGAAGAGGATGTTAGAAAATGGAGAGACATGCTGTGCTCTTGGATAGGAAGGACCAATGTAGTGAAAATGGCCATACTTCCAAAACCATCATACAAATTTAATGCAATCCCAATCAAAATTTCCATAGCATATCCCACAGAATTATCCTAAATTTCATCCAGAAAAAGAAGAGACCTAAAATAGCAAAGGCAGTCTTGGGCAACAAGACAAGGGACATCAACCCCTGACTTAAAATTATACTGTAAAGCTACTGTGATAAAAGCTCTGTGGTACTGGCAGAAAACAGACCTGAAGATCAATGGAACAGATTAGAAGATGCAGAAACAACTGCAGACACACTAAATGACCTTATCTTTGACAAAGGTGCCAAACACATCGAAGATAGCCTTTTTAATAAATGTTGCTGGAAAAACTGGCTCTACACATGCTGAAGATTAAAACTGGATCCATATCTTTCATCAGGTACCATGCTAAAATCAGAATAGATGAAAGATCTTACTATTCAAACAGAAACATTAAATCTGCTGGAAGATAGAGTAGTTAAAACTCATGAAGACATCTGTGTAGGCAAAGACTTTATGAGCAAAACCCTGATCGCACAGGAACTATGACAGAGAAACAACTGGGATCTCTTTCTATTAAAAAGCTTTTGCGCAGGGTGCGAAACCACCAACAGAGCGAAGAGACAACCCACAACATAGGAGACAATGTTT